CGAGTCGCTGTGCTGGACGTCATGAGCATAGTAATCGCGCTGGGAGTCACCACACCTGAAACGTCTTACTCAGATATGGCTGCTGGATCAGAGTAAGTAGTAACTACCAGCTGGGTGGGACTAAAATAGTCGAGAAAGATTCTCTTTATTTACAACCTGGGTCTTGTTTTTGTGGTTTTGCTGTTGTTTCTCGTTCCATTATTCTCAAACTTACTTGCTGATATCTGTGGATGTGTGGAACATTGCTCAAATAAAGCAGTGTCACAGGTTGGAAATAAACTTCCTGTTTAACCTGATCATTTACACCACCTGAATAGCTCCCGTAATGCAGTTGCCAATGCGGATCCAAATAAACAAAAAAAGACTTGTCTGGAATGAAAAACAAAGGTAAACATTGACTTGTTTTCTCAAGTTAGAAATAGAAATGTCCCATTGTACTGAGCAGCACCGACCTTTGACCTACTGTGCTTACATAGTTGTACATGCTCACAATTTTTAAATGCAATGGAGCTTTTTAATGAACATTGCAGCTGTGTTCACTCTATTTTTCATGTCTATCTAACTGCTATGGTTAATATGGTAAACTGGGGGTTTAACAACCTGTGTGATTGTCTGATCACTTGTGTTACTTGCTCCCATTAACTCTGTTCTGATGATGTTGCCACATCCCCAGATCTTAGCAATCAAGCAATAAGGCGGGTGAAGAGAAAGTCGTCATAATCCATAGCCAAAAGTAATCAGTGGCCTAAAATATGAAAATAATTGGATAGGAATTTTCCTTTCCAGTTCCATTACAGGTTTGGTGTTGGTAATCTGCAGGGGGGTTTTTTGGAGGTCCCAGCGATTCCCAGCTAATAAATAGATTAATATATTCCCCATTGGAAAATGTATAATAGATATTGTTGTGATTTTTTTATTGTTGTGGGTTTCAGACTATGATTACCTCTTTAATAGAGTAGAGTTGCACTCTTTTGCCCAAAGCAACACACTATGTTCATGCAACGTTGCTGAACTCTTCCCCTTTGTTCACATTTCTCTACAACTGTAGCACCTTGGGTTGTGATTATATGCTTCCTTCCAATATCCTGTCAGCAGTTTTCTGTCTTCTCCACAAAGTCTGCTGGAGAGACCCGAAGAGATGGGAAGTGCAGTCCACCAAAGACTAAACTTTCCCAGACAGAAATAAAGGAAATAACAGTATGTGATGCTTCAGTCAGGCTGGTTGCACATGAACTCAAAACCGTCTAAAAATGAAGCAATGTAACACAGACACCTGTATAGGGCTGGACGATGAACAAAAATACCACTACTGGCATTTTGTCTTCCCTATTAAAGCCACTTCAAATTCAGAAATTTCAGTGATTGCAGTTAATTCACTGTATTACAGTGTCAACACAGTGAGCAGACAATGCTCACTTTTATTTTTATTAACCAGCAAGGCTGTTGTTACTTAATTTGAAACTGATAGTTTGAATAGTCGCACTGGGTGCAGTGTGTAACTGGCCTGCGCAACTATATATTCTTCAATATTGAAAGAAACCGCAAATTGTTGTTTGTAATGCTGATAAAAGTTTCAGTTATCTTGTAATCATTTGTGTCCGGAGGGACAGCCCACCCTCAGGAGCCTAATTATCATCTCCTGTAATTGTTTTTATTTCTATTATTGTGATCACTGTTGATTCTGTATCGTCCAGCCCTCCGTCTGTGTAAGTGAGGTAGACTTTATATTGTTTCCACATCAGGCCCTCGTTGTGTAGAGTAGTGTCTGAGGAAATGTCCACAGACAGCCTAAGTAAGAACAGTTGCCACTTCTCTGTAGGTAAGCCTGCTTACGTGACTGAGGTTATGTGGAATGCAGTTGGTCTCTCTCCCATCCACCCCTGTTCACGGCCCCCTTTAGTTTCCTTCAAACCTCAGTCAGAAGGATTGATTCTAACACGAGAAAATGCGCCTTCTCTGTTGAGATATACAAAATCTAGCAATTTAAATGTAGCATTTTTGTCATTTTGATTCTTTTGACATTTAAGTTTGCTCCAGAAATGGAGGACCAGGGGGGAAAGGCAAGGTTGTTCACTGTCTGGCCAGACCTCAGTTAAAGGGCAAAAGGAGTTGCATAAGATAATGGCGACCCACATTCCATTTCCTAAATTGCTGTTCTCCCAGACAGGAGAGCAACTTTAGGGTCTTGGTGCCATCTAGTGACTGATTGATGTCTTTTACTATAACAGTTGTTTACACAACAGCTCTGGAAAAGCATAGTGGAAAGTGTCTACTCTTTTATACATGCAATTCCTGTTTTATTTTTATTCCTCTAAAATAATAATTTTTGTTTATTTTCCAGCCCTGAGTCAGTTGAAGCAAGCCCTGCCGTGAATGAGAAAAACTACAACAACCACAGCTGTGGGAGCGCACAGAGTCATGGGTATCGGGGACTACCATATGCTGTGAGTTCATACCGTTCTTTTCTAATCATCAATTCTAATCATAGCATGTCTTATTGTATGAAATAGGTATTGCCCTCTATTAATCAAAAATAAGTTTTCTACAATTATAAACATTTTAAAAGCTAAAATAACTTTTGATCTATCCAATCTTTTCTTGCTTTCTAATCTTTTCAAGTTCCTCGTTCTATTAAAGTAGAACAGTAAGAGTAAAACTAAGGATTGGTGGTGCTCCTAGTTTGATCAAATACATGAATGTCTATCCTACTTTTAGTCTTCTGTAACCACATACTACTTCGTTATTAACAGCTGTACTGTTTCACATACCTGTTTTTTTGCCCTCATTTTCATTCGTCTCCATTTTCCGTTTCCCTTTTTGCCTGAACACCCGTTGTTTGAAGATGCAACAGTCTTCCGTTGTGTGTTGTCAGGATCACAACTATGGCGCGCCCCCTCCCCCTACCCCACCCGCCTCCCCGCTCTCCCAAACCATCATTCCCCGCATGGATCTCAACGGCGTGGTACGCAGCTCCCGCTATCACGAAGCTAATGAGGACAACTCAGCCGACAGCGACAGCTCCTCAGAGGAGGACGGGGCTATGGCCAGCTGGTGTCACTGCAGCCTGACGCCGGATGGCCTGCTCATCAAATGTGACAACTGCAGGTGAGAGATGGAAAACCTGCCTAGTTTGGATCTTCCATCTGCTGTGTCAGGTGACAATTTCTAATGACCAGACCTTCCAAACTGTCCTGGAAGTTTATGAGAAAGGACCGTGAAGTGCTGTAAAACAAAGTTCTGCCATTAGAAAGAGCAGTGGACTTTTTTATTAGATAAAAAACGTATTTTTGTAGAGTCTGCCTCTGGTAGTGTGACCACACTCAAACATGTTGTAAAACCCCTCAACTGTCATAGATCAAAATGCAACGTGGAGTATTCATTTTAGTACTCTCTGTCAGCTGCATATTGAAATAAAAATATCTCACTGTTTGTCTCCAAACCTCAAACGTAGGTGTGTTCAAAAATCAGTTTAATTGTTTAGTTGCTGCCTTTTAGTCTGTTCTCTTTTTGTTTTAACAATGTCATGTTTTGTATCAGTGATTTGACTTCATGTTTTTTATTTGACTCATGACCTATTATACCTCATGCACTGACGTGTTTTATTGCTTTTTGGTTGCAGGGGACTCGACAGGAGGAAAGGAGCAGAAGGTCAACACAGAAAAACAGAAAATGTCTCAGGTACATTGTCTTTGTCTTTATTTGGTAAATTAATGTAAATTAAAGTGCTCAGTTAATTTCCCCATGATATCTAATGATTTGTTTGTTTGTTGTTGTTTTGTAGCTGGAGAAAGCAGTGCCACAGAGAGTGGCGATGAAGAGGTGTCGCCCTCCACCATCTCCTACACTGCCACCCAGCACACGCCCACCAGCATCAAACTTACTGTCAACCGGGTCAAAAGGAGCAAATCCAAAAAGAGGAAGAAGAGCACGGAGAAGGCCCGTGGAACACCAAAGGGCAAGAAAGTCAAGGTAGACTGAAGAAATAGATGAACTCAAAACCCAATATGGAACCTCAGTGGCTGTTTAAAATGTCTTTGTATTGATGTGGGTTATTTTTCTTCTTTCAGGCATTCAGAGAGGGTTCTAGGAAGTCCATGAGGATGAAGGTAAGATTGAAGACATTTATGTTAAGTTTTGTTTCACTCAGTTCTATCAGCTTCATGTTTCTCCTTTTCTGTAAAGAAAAACTTTTGTCGCAACCTACTCCGTCTTTCCTTCTGCCTAGAACTCAACAACAGAGGCCAGTGTGTTGGATGAGAACACAGCAGAAGGATGGGAGAACAGGATCCGCCAGTGGACGGACCAATATGAGGAGGCTCTGGCCAACCAGTACAGCGCAGATGTCCAGACACTTCTCAAGCTTCACCGCGCTGCCACCACCACTGTTTCAAAGGCCGAGAGTGGCACCACAACGCCTCCTTCCACCACACAAATCCACGCCTCCGTCGACGCCATGGACACCATCAACCGCACTGAGCTAGCCTGTAACAACACAGTGCTGGGCTCACAGATGCAGGTGAGCCCGAGTCCTGATACACACTCAATATTGAAACAGATGCAATTAGCTAGTAACAGTGACTGACTAAGGAAATAAGAGCAAGTTAGCTCTGCCTAACTAACCAGTCACAACTGTGTAACCATACCGCCATTTAACATGTTTAATAAATTCCTGCTTTTGCCAATAAGCAATTTATTTGCTGCTTGCAGCTACAGTTGGGCAGGGTAACGCGGGTTCAGAAACACAGGAAGATCCTCAGAGCAGCCAAGAACCTGGACCCAGACACACTCATCATTGAATATCGGGGAAAGGTCATGCTCAAACAACAATTTGAAGTCAACGGGCAATTCTTCAAAAAGTAAGAGATTGCGGTACACGTACCATTGGACTACTTTCAGTATTTGGGTCCACAGACAGCTGGTTATATTGTGTTATATTGTGTTATGTTGTGTCTGCTTTTGATACCATTGTCATCATATTTTTCTAGACCCTACCCATTTGTACTCTTCTACTCAAAGTTTAATGATGTAGAGATGTGTGTTGATGCGAGGACCTTTGGAAATGATGCACGCTTTATCAGGAGGTCCTGTACACCCAATGCTGAGGTGAGCCATTAAGCTTTTTTATTTATTTATTTTTTTAATCCAAATGCTCAACACTTGTTTCAGTTCTGTGCAGGTTTTAATTTTATCAGGTTGCTTTCTTTATATGTTTTTCATTTTGCATGTGTTCGCTCCCCCAGGTCCGGCATATGATTGCTGAGGGCATGATCCATCTGTGTATCTATGCCATCAGTCAAATCACAAAGGACGCTGAGGTCACCATTGGATTTGACTACGAGTTCAATAGCTGGTCAGTACTGCTCCTGAACCCATATCTCTCTTTCCACCTCCCTCTTAAACCAGCACTAGAAAACAACACGGGTCAAATCCAACCATCTATACAACATTCATATCAAGTATAAGTGCTTATAGTCCAGTTCCTGTCTAGAAACACACAGTAGATCTGAAGGCAATCGTTAGTTCTCCTCTGTTTGACCTAAAAATTGTTTAGCATATTGCTGCTGCAGGATGTCTGGTGTTCCGTCTCGAGTCTGATCTTCTCCTCTCCCATAACAAACCATCAGTAATTACAAAGTGGACTGTGCCTGCCATAAGGGCAACCAGAACTGCCCGGTGCAGAAGCACAACCTGAGCCCCAGGGAGAGCTTGCTGAGTCCTCCCTCCCTGCCA